GAGGAAACTTGCCTGTCTGGCAGGACCAGCTACATTATGTGTGGGGCCCAGTACAAAATGAAATAGCAGGACCTTTGTTCAAAATTGAGGAATTTTAAGCTGGCAACAGCAGAGTGTTAAACCCGGGCCTTCCGAGTGTGGAGTCAGGCTGCGCACCCATGAAGCCAGCCCCCAGGGCTTAAAACAGTGCCTCACACACACAGTGCCTCAGTAAACATTTGCTGCATGAATGAAAGCATGAGTGAGGGCCTGCGCGGAGGCGGCCCACCTGATTCTTGCGGTAGTCCTCCTGAGAGTGGCGCAGCACGCGGTAGCACAGGCGGAACATGTGCTGGTAGGGGGCATTCTTCTGGTCCGACAGCTCCTCCAGCCGCACCAGAGGGCCCTCACCCGCCTTGTCACGGAACGGGACTTTCAGAATGCCAAAGATCTGGGGAATCAGGGAGAATGAGGAGGGGTCCCCACAACTGCCGACACCCCTAATTATCACAGGAACCCTAAGCACCAAACTGACCCTGACATTAATCTCAAGCCACCCTGACATTAACCCCAAGGTGATTCTAAGCTGGACTTCAACACCAGCCCAGCTCCAGCACCCACTCCCTCTCCTGGCAGGAATCCTGAAGCTGACCTCAGCCCACCCCTCCCCATAGTGAATTCTAATCCCAGCTCAGATCCTGGGCCTGACTCAGCAAGTGGGGAAGAGCAGAGGGTTGCCACAGCTCAGGGCCCTGAGGCTAAGAGAAAAGGCAAGCCAGGCCTGTGCAGCCAGAGCTTAAGAGATGAGACACAGGCTTGCTTCATCCAAAAAATATTTAAGGCAATTAAATATTTCAAACGGCAGGGTTTGGGTGGGGGTGAAAATTTATTCTAGAACAGAGACCAAAGAAACAGACTGAATGGAATGAGAAAATCTTAGTTGGATCCCGGCTAAAGGAAAAAAAAAAACAAGCTTTAAAAGGCATTTTGGAAAAGGCAGATAAATGTGGTATGGACTGGATATATTATTGCTAATTTTCTTAGGTGTGATAATGTTACTGGGCTTACATAGGACTTATTCTTAGGAGATGCGTGCTGAAAAATTTAGCATGCACCCTACTTTGAAAGGCGCAGATGGAAGGAAGGTTGTGCAGATGTAGAGTTACATAAAGCCAAGCTGAAGAAATGGTAACAAGCACATTCAGGCAGTGGGTGTAGTTTTCTTTCAATACTTTCCCAATTGTTGAAATTTTCCTAATAAAAATTTCAAGAAAAATTATTTTTAAAGTCCAAGTTCTGAACCCAATGTCCTGAGTTCAAATCCTGGCCCTGCTGCCTCCTAGCTACGTAGTCTCAGTCAAGCTACTCCAACCTCAGTATGCCTCAGTTTCCTCGTGGGTAACAGGATAATGGTACCTCCCCAGGTTGAGCAGATCAAATGAACCCATACATGTAGGGGTCTCGGGACAGTGCTTGCATGGGATAAGTGCACAATAAATACTCCATTTTTTAAAAGTGATGAGAGGCATGAGGGAGACTACAGCTCAACTGGAGAGGAGGTCCAGCATGGCCTCCCACCCCCCACACATGGGCACCGGCACCTGTCTGAGAATGTTCTGCTCCCTCATCAGCTTCTGCCGTTCCCGGTTGGCCTTGGTGACCATGATGTCCAGCACGTTCTGCCCATTGTTGGGGACGTCGCTGACGAAGAACACCAGGTCCTCCAGCAGCTGGATGACAAACCTTCATGAAGGGATGCCAGGGATGAGTGTGAGGCACCCACCTGGGGACAGCCCCAGGTGGCAGGCAGCCCTTCCCCAAACACAGCTCTCATCACATCACTCGATGGACCTGCTGTCTGAAGCCAAGCACCCAGCACTGGCCTTCAGTTTCTCTCCCCAGCTTCATGCCGAACTGCTCTCAAAACACACCCCTTGCCCCACCCACCCTGGATTCGGAAGTGCCCCGAGACAGACTCTCCGTATACCCCAATCTGGAAAGGAACAACAGGGCTCAAGGCAGGGTGTTTGGAGTGAAGGGCTCTGCATTTCTGTCCTGTTTCTGTTGTTTACTAGCTGTGTGACCTTGGGCTCGTCTCTTTACCTCTCTGAACCTCAGTCCCATCATCAGGGTTAGCTCCGGGACTATGTGAGCACTGAGGCAGGGCCCCACAGGGACTAGTCCCCCACCTGTCTCCCTCACCCCAGCCCAGCTTGTGGCTTCTGCTTTGTGACTCCTCTGTTCGTGAAATATGAACCCCAGGAGAACAAGACCTCTCGGCAAACCTCGGAAAGCCTGCCCCTGCAGCCCACCTGCGGTCGTTCTGGCTGATAAAACCTTCATTGAGTTTCTCCACAGCGCTGGCTAGCATGGAGCTGGCATCATTGGCAAAGTCCAGGTCTCGGATCTCGGACACAGGAACCGACACGATGGCAAAGGCCTCCTTGTCCTCCTTGGTGGGGCAGGTACCCAGCTGCAGGGACAGAGGTCAGCAGGGCACCCAGGGACAAGCTCAGGCCCCAGCCCCGGCCCCCAGCCCCAGGCGGCCCGCACCATGAGCCGAATGGGCCGCTCCTCCTCAATGTCAATGGGCACGTTGGTGCTCTGGATCCACGTGTTGGTGCAGAGATGTCGCAGCCGGACATATGAGTTCCTGCAGGGCGGGGGGTGGGGGGCCCGCAGGGCACAGGACTGTTTCATGATCACATCCCAGCTGTCTGCCTGCTCTGGCCCCCGACAGCTCCCCATCTTCACTTGACTCCACATCCAGCAGCCGTGGGACAGGGGCACTGGTTTCCTCCAGGTGAGGAGCCCAGGCCAGATGAGAGTGACCAGAGTGACCTCACGCAAGCTCACGTGCCTCACCTGCATGCGGAGACCCAAAGCACTCCAAGAGCCAAGGTCTCTTTGTAAACCTGGGGCCAAAATTCATCTGGACAAATGAGGCTGTTTAGACTATTTGTTCCATTTAGTGTCAAGATGCACACGTTTCACAGCAGAAACACTCATGTCTTTGATTATGAAACATAATTTTACCTTTCTGAAATAAAAAACAACTGAACTTAAAAATGTAGCTGGCCCCCAGAGTTTCAGATAAGGGGTTGTGGGCCTGTAGTGACTCAATTCTCCCATCAGCCCTATTGAAGGTAGACTTGATATTCCCACTTTACAGATGAAGAAATCAGGACAAAGTGATTGAGTCAGCTGAGCCCCTACTGCTTGTAAATGCTAAGGCCTGACTGACATCCAGGAAGTTTCTTGATGTTACGTGCTATATCTCAGAGTCAGGGGACCTTAAAGGTCAAGGAGCCAGCCCTACCCAGTGCTCCCAGGACGAACTGTGGTGCGGCCTGTGCTTGAGTGCACAGACCAGCTGGGGCAGGTGGCTGATAAAGAACCCTGGAGAGAAGGCATTTTGATAAAGCACATAGCACAAGGTGGCAAATGCCCAGTGTGTGCAGAACCCAGGGCTGGACGCACGGCAAACATTCAAGGACTGTCCGCTGCCTACAGCTCTCACAGCTCAATCCCCGGAGGGGTAGGACATGCAGATGCTAAGGCCAGAGGACCCCTCAGGAGGACAAAGGAGTGGGATGCAGGAAGCCCAGGGACACGATGGCCCAGCCTGGGCACCCCCAGCCAGCCACCAGGCACGTGGCACCCACCCACCGTGGCACGAAGGAGTCAGTTTTCTGCAATGTGGTGGGGTCCAGCTCAAAGAGGGAGGCGATGTCATTGCCATGGGGCACAGCCACCAGGCGGTACTTTATCTTCTCCCCAGCATTCCGGCGACCTGTGCGGCCCTGGACACCCTGGGATGAAGACCCCAACTCAGGCAAAAGCCCCTTCCTCTACTCAGGTAATCTGAAATCACCTGGGGTCCCACCTGAGTGGCCTTCTCCCTCCAGCCCCCCTCCCAGGGTTTCCCGGCCTCCCCTGCCCCGCCCTCCGCCGGAGCCCTGCTGTGGACCTCACCGTTCCTGCTGCCTTGGGGTCCGATGCATCACCCTTGTAACTGGGGTTCTCCTGGAGAAAAAGGTAAGGGGTGCTTCTGGACACCAGGCTATAGCCACATGACCCCTGTCCCAAAACAAGGTCCACAGAGGGCTTTGGGTCAGAGCAGCAGCCCCCACCCTCCCAGGGGTGCCCATGTTACTCCAAGGGGAGCCATCAGTGAGCGCTCCCAGGCCCCACTCTCTCGGCCCCTTCTCCACAGTCCCAGGGGTGAGCACACACCCCTCCCAACACACAGGGACGCTCCAGGACTCCCAAGCCTGGGCATTAAGGGCATATGTAGATGTCGAAGGTAAGTTCCACAAGGGCTGGGAATTCTGCTCCCTGCTCTACCCCAGTGCCCAGAACAACTCCTGGCACATAGCAAGGGCACAGGAATATTAGGCTTATTTACAGTCATGCACTCATTTGATAACATTTGTTAAATAAACACACGACTGCAGGTAAGCCAGAGTCCACAGATACATGTGTGTGCAGACAGAGCCCAGGCACACACCCTCACTCACACCCACGTGCTCACACAGCCTGCGCTCCCAGGACGCCCTCGGCCTCCCTGCTCACCTCAGCAGCCAGGTAGTTGCCCGTGGCCAGGTGCTTGAAGCGGTACAGGCCATTCCAGTGGCCAGCTCCTCCACGGCAGGGGTCGTGGTGGACCACCTGGTGGGTGCAGGGGTGAGACAGGCCAGGGAGGGGGAGCTCAGACCCAGGGCAGACTTGGGAGGGCACAGGGTGGGGGGACCCTGAAGGCCTGGAGAGTTTTGGATATGTGGTGCCAGGAGCCTTCCTGACTCTGGATCTCCCACCTCCAGTGTGAAGAGGGAAGGCAGGGCAGGCTCTGACCTCAACCTCCCAGAGGGCGTTGGAGCTGGTGGCTGAGGTGGCAGACTGGCGCAGCGTGGTGCGCAGGAACACTTGCAGCTTGCCCTTGTACTCGTCACATGTCAGGAACTTCTCCTGCTCTGCGTGGAACAGCCGCACCACATCTCCCTGCGGGTGTGGGTTGTGGGCTCAGGGTGGACAAGGACCCTCCAGGCGCCAGTCCCACCTGCCTCAGATGCAGGGGCAGCTCCTTCCAGAGCCAGCAAGCAGAGGACAAGATGCATGCTGAGCCCCACCAGAGGTGGCTGGGGTCCGGGGCCAGCCACTCAACCAGGCTTTCTGCCCAGATCCCAAATCCAAAGCTTCCAGATGACTGGGGCAGGACATGCTCTTACCCAGAACCTTCCCTGGCCTTCCTACGTAGAACCTGCCCTTCATCACCTCCCTTCCCAATTCATACCTCTAGAAACCCCACCTGACATTTAACAGTCAATCCCAAGTAAACCCCTCCATGAAGGAAGGTGGGACCTCACCTCCTGGGGTCTTCCCAGGCCCACGGCTGTACCTCTCCTAGGGCCCTTTCTGCCTGGTATCAGCAGTCCATGCCCATTTCTTTTGCTCCCCATTGGTCTGCAGCAGCTGGAGTGCAGGGTCTGTGGCCCGTTCATCTCTGTAGCTTTGGACACAGAGACCAAGTATGGATCCTACCTCTGCTTTAAAAGCTGTGTGACCTTGGGTAAGTCCCTTTATATCTCTGAGCCTCAGTTTCCTCTTCTATAAAATGAGAATACAACTTCTTATAGAAATCATGAAGATTCCAATTTATATAAAGGAGTTAACATTGCACTTACCACATGCCAGCCACAGTGCAAGGACTTTATGTGAGCTTTCTCATCTAATCCTTACACTAACCCTCTGAGTACATACATCATCATCTCCACTTTACAGGTGGACAAACTCAGGCACAGAGAAGTAACTGTCCTGCAAGGGGCATGGGACACGAATCCATGCTGCCTGCAGCTCTGAGGCCCTCATCGCCCCACCTCACTTCCTCCCACAGTGAGCCTGCCACCTAGCAGGCTCTCAGTCACGGCTGACACTGCTATTATCACTAATGGCGTTATCTGTCTTCCCTGCACTGTGCTGGACACAAAGGACTCAGTCAACACTTGTGGAGTGAATGTGGGAGTGAGGGAGGGAGCAAACGAATGAATACACACAGATGGAGTCAGTCACTGTGGCAGAACCTAGTGACTTCTACCCAGGCTGTGCAGGGTGGGGGCAGAAAAGGGGTGGGTTTGTGCACTCAAGTCTCACTTCCAAGTTGCCTGGATTCTAACACTGGGGCCATGACAGATTTACCAAAACCACCCCAGGCCGCACCATGGAGTTCAGCCCAGTGATGCTTCATTTTCTCTGTGCTGCATAGATTTAGGGCTGGGATGTGTAATCAGGGAAGTCTTCTGGGAAGAGGTGGTCCATGAACTGGGCCTTGATTGATGTGTGGGTGAGGTGCAGGCTTAAGGGAAGGAAGGAAAGGCATTTGGACAGAGCACGGGTGGATGGGAAACAGCCTGGGAGAACGGAAGGAGGAGGCAGCGAGTGGCTGAGGAGCAGCCTAGCTGGGGTAAGAGGGCAAAGGGGGCCACTGCAGGCTTCTGAATGAGGGAGGGTGCAGTGAACACGGGGCGGCCTCCTTAGGTGGCTGTTCTTGGACCTGTCACCTGTCCCTCAATCATGATATCTGGCCAGATATACCTGCCGACCCCCAGCCAACAGCCCTGCCCTCTTTGCTACCCCAAGTCTGCCCCTCCACACAGCCTGCCTTCAGTCTGCTGCTTCTACTGCCAGCAGCCCCACTTGAGGACCTCTGACCTCCCCCCGTCTGACTCCAGCCCTCCTTCCCCACTCTGCCCTGATCCCTCCCAGTGTTTACTGTGGTATCTCCCAGCAATTCTGTCCAGAAAGCTCATGCCTTCCCCACCTGCAAACCTCTATGTCCCAGAGCCCACGCTGGGCAGGTCAGGAACCAGGGCAGCACAGACCTGACTCAGCAGCCTTATGCCCTTGCCCAAGAGGGCAAAGGGCACAGGGGCAAAGGGTAGGGGAGTGTGGGGATTGGGAAGGAGACAGGGTGCTCAAAGGGCCCACTCCAAGGTGGGGGGATGGGGACACCTCTGAGCAAGAGAACAAGCAGGCCATCTAGGACCCAGAGAGGGTGCAGAGGGGGCTTATGAGGCAAGAGATGAGAGAGGTAGCAGTCCGGTTGGGGAGGTGGGAGTTCAGTGGGGTAGGAGGGAGACTGGAAGGGGTGCAGAGCCAGAGAAGGGGGCACATAAAGAAGAGGGCTAGGCAGGGAGCAGAGCTGGGGTAGGTGGGGGAAGGCAGGAAAGGCCTGTGAGGAGGGGCTGTGCAGGAGCAGGCAAGGCAGCAGTGCTGCAGGCTCCCAGGGCTTACCCCTTTCAACACCTCCTCCAGGTGGTCTCGGAACTGCATAAACAGGTTAATCTTCCAGCTAGTATTGCAGTTCACAGAGTTGACCTGGGGAAGGACAGAGAGAATCCTGATGCCAGGAAGACCCCCACTGTTGGGGAATGGGTCAGTGCTAAGGGCCTAGAGAGGGGGTGAGGTCCAGCCCGGATCCCATCACAGCACAAGGAGCGGGTGGCTTCTCCCAACTGCCCTGTGGATGCCAACCTGTGGGGTGGAGGATGGGGGCAGATGCTGAGAAACAGGTGGGGAGTGGTGAGGCCCAGCTTTTCCAGCAGGCCAGACAAGACTGGAAGAAGAGACCCTGGTGGGAAGGAGATGTCTGTACCCTCAAGGATGTGTGGATGCCCCTCCACTGCAGGGCTGGACCCACCACCTCACTCACCTCCTTGCAGCCGGCGTTGTCGCTGAGCTCATAACTGCTGGCATGCAGAGGCTGTCCTGCATTGACAGGATTCAGTATCACCTTGTCCCCCACCACCACCTACAGGGACAGGCAGAGCAGGATGAAGGTGGGAAGTGCCAAGCCCCCAGGCCTCTCTGATCTCAGTCTGCTCCTCTAAGAAATGGGCATGACCTCATCCAGTCCCCACACTGAAACCCTATAAAAGCCCCCATGGAGCTGTGGCCTGCACCACCACCAGGCCCCTGCAGCCCAGCCCTGTCCTCACATTGTCCCCATTGCTCCGCAGCTTCCAGAAAGGCTGTATGAAGAGCCAGGAGCCCTCATTGCCCATGGCATCCAGTGTCACCCGCATGGCGTTCTTCTCCAGCAGCGCCGGCAGGCGCTTGTTCACTGTCAGGTACTTATTGCTCTTCATGTGTAGGAGCTGGTGGGCAGGCAGAGTGCAAGTGAGGTCCCCAGGCCCAGGAGGACAGCCCATCAGGGAAGGGGCATCGGGGGGGTTACACCTGTACATACATACAGTGTCGGACACAAAGACACAAACACAAACTGAGATACATGCAGTCACGCACACAAACACACACTCCCAGCCAGGCTCCCAGGTGATCACCAAAAAGAAGCTGACACTGTTCTAAATACTGTACGTGCATCAGCTCGTGTAACCTTACAACATCCAAGAGGGAAGCCCTATCACTGGCTGATTGAACAGAAGGGGAAACAGAGGCACTGGGAAGTTAAATAACTAGCCCAAGGTCACAGAGCAGAGATTGGGACCCAAAATCCGTGCTAGTGACCCCTGTGCTTCAAACACATAGTGGACACAGCTACTCAAGCCCCATGGCAACAAACGCACTCAGGGGCTCTCACCTGGATCACACTGCCGTACTTCACCACGTCCCCATGCACTTTTTTGTTCTCCGTGTCATTCTGCTTCTGCTCCATCTGGGCTGCGTGCTAGGCAAACACACACAGAGGTGGGGGGCGGGCTCAGAAGCCTGCTCCTGGAGGGGCACATCCCTCCCCCAACACATGTGCACGTGCCCACACACACAGCTCCTGGCACTGCCCCAGAGTGCTCATCAGAGGCCATCCAGCCCATTCCCTCCCACTACCGAGGAGGGACCGAGGCTGAGTGTGGAGGGGCAGCCGGAGTCACACAGCATGCGTCTCAGGGAACCACCAAATCCCTCACCCCTGCCCCCCCACCTCCCTTTGAAGGGGGCATGCCAGCAGGGCCTTGAACCCCCTAGCAACCCCACATTCCCAGCAGACAACCTCAGCTATGCCTCGCTACCCCCATCACACAGACTCCTGACACCCCCAACATAGGAGCCCTGCCCCAGCCCAAACCCTGGCAGGCATGCTTGATGCCGAATCCCTCCTTCTCCTCCACTCCCTCCCAAACCTGTGTGTGCTCCCAGGCCACTTCCTCCAGGTACCCTTCACTGACTGGCCACATCTGACTCTGATGGACCCAACTCTGGGGGCCTCCAGGATTTGGTCTGTGTCCCATTAAAGATACCTTTTTAGGCATCTCCGTCACATTAGACTGGAAGCTGCCTGTTGGTAGGCTCTGTCTCCTCTATCCAGTCAAGGGCTCCTGGAGACAGAGCTGTGTTCTTCCACCAGATGGGCACTCCCTGACAGCACTGGCCCCTCTGTCCCTTCCTTCTCCTCAGTCCCATTACCCAGGCCTCATAACGAGGCCAGGGCATGGGTGGCTGCTTGGAAGACTTGCCATGTACCACGTAACTTTCCACACACCTACAGTGTGTGGCTGACCACGCGTGGTGCAGAGCCCATACCCGTGCATGTCTGAATGCACCCTGCCCAGGCTAGATTCCCAGTTCGGCCTCCGCCAAGTCGGCAGCAGGAAGGAAGCCTGTGATGGCCCCCAGCCCAAGGAGCTGCGGCTATTTTATAAGAGCTCAGGCAGCCTGCCCCCAGCCCCCGCTTCCGGGCCCAGTGGGCGGGCCCACCTTCCTCCATTTCACACCCACCTCCCCAGGGAAGCAAGGTCCACATGAGAGCGGGCAGGGCACTCGGCCTGCAGGGGTGCCTCAGAAGCAGGCTCCAAGGCTGCTGACCACAGCCAAGTCTCCCACTCTCTTTTCCATGGGGCCGGGCTTGGGGCCCTGAGCTTTGTCCTGAGAGGAATGCCCAGGACGTGAACTCAGCCTCTGGTTCCAGGGGACCTGCGAGCAACCACCAGGCCCTCACATTGCACACCAGGCATGTGTCCAAGGAACCCAAGATGTGCCAGAGACCTGGGGCCACTCATACTGCAAACTCACAGGACGACCGTGCTCAGCCAGTCCCCTCTAAGGACCCCAAGGCTCCAACTCTATTAAATGAGGAGAGGTTAAGACTGGTTCTCAAACTGGGTTCCCTGGAGCTGCTATCTCCAGGAGCCACTGCTAATTCCATGTATAGCTGTATAGGTCGCTCACTGCACCATGACATCCAGCTGAAGGGCTGGGTGGGGGCTGAAATCCAATCCACATTCCCTCACTGAGCCATGTGCCCTGGCATAGGGCTGTGCCAGCCTAGAGGAAAAGGCACCCTCTTCTAACTGGCACAGAGGGGTCGTGTAGATGAGGGAGTCAGTGGAGAGCACTCTATTTCCCCCACCTCACTTCATTCACACCACTTGGCTCAGTGGTAAAAGCCACTCAGCTCATTTTAAAAACCACTTGACTCACCCACGAGGCCCTGTCAGCTCTGATGAGCAGTGACCCCGCCACATGCACCCAGGTGCCTGATGCACAGCCACAGGTGCACAGCTACACACACACACCTGCAGCTTCTGCAGCAGCACTACGTCAGCAATCTTCTCCTTGTCCTGCTTGGTCTGCTTGGCCTTCCAGTACTGCTTCTGGGCTGAATAGCGGTTCATGGGACACACCTTGAACAGGCAGTCTGGTAGGGTAGGCAAAAGGAGGGAGACAGGTTGCTGTGGAGGTCAGGCCTTCCCTGGGGAAATTCCCCAGCCTACAGCCCTGCCCCCAAATCCCACCTCTGCTCTCCCCACCCCTTCCCACCCTCCTGTTCCCCTGAGTAGAGAGGAGGTGGTTGGAAGAACCCTGTAGAACTTGGAGCATCCTGAATCAAGTAGAATGGTGAGTCCCAGCAGCAGGTTGGAGAGCAGGATCTCACTGGCAGGAGGATGCTGTCCTCAGCCCCAGGGGAGGTTATCAGAGGCTCCTGGGCTCCCATTCCTATGCTGTCTGTGCCCAGCTTTTGTGGATACTGGTGGCTGACAGCTCCCACCTGTATCACTCTCTGGCCACCTGCCATCTTACGCACATTGTCTGGAAGTTACAACCCCACAGCAGGGGCAGCCCACATGCAGTGGCTGATGCAGGCATGAGGCCGTCCGGCCCCTGGAGGGAACTGTCTGCAGCACTGGTCACTCCCTGGCCCCCATGGGGTCAGGCGGAGGCTTCTCCTCTCCTGGAACCACATCCTCACTCTGCTCTTCTCCTGCCATGTATGAGCAAATCTCCCTCCCTCTCTTTCCCAGAGACACTCTCCTCAACAATTCCCCCCCTTCATAGGCTCTGCTTCTAGGGAACTCAGTCTAAGAAAGGGCTATTCAAAATTCCAGAAACAGGTTCACTATAGCAATTTTTATTTTGGAAAGCAGACAAAACATCTATGATTTTCAAAAGCCAAAACTCCAGAAAGGATATCAGATTTTTCTACTTATCCAAACAAGGCATGGGTTGGAAAATCCTATTGTAAAGCGTGGTGGGAAAGGATCGAGGTTGCTGGATCACAGTGAGATACTGGCCCAGGTGAGTGGGCCTGTTTGACACAACAGGGCTGTGCTGTGCAGCAGTGAGCTCCCCATCACTGGAGGGAATCAAGCCCTGGACAGGGGTTGGGCTCATGCCTCTAAGGCCCTCTCATGCTACAGTGCCATGCTGTGACTGCACAGTGCTCCAGTAGCATGGAACACAGCAGAGGTAGTTGTGCCAGAGCCCCTGAAAGACATCACTGGGGGGTAGGTCAGAGAGATGGGGCGCCCCCTCCTTCAGGCCCTTTCATTCACCCTCTAAAGAAAGGCAGGCTATGTTCCTGCTCTGAGCAAAGCTGGTCATCCAGCCCCTGGGAACTAAAAGCAAAACTGGATTTTCTGTAGTCCACAAGCAGACAGAGGCCCACTGATACCATCAGGAGAAGAAACTGAGTGAGTCAAAGTTCAGAGAAGACAGAACTGCCTCGCAAGCAGGGAAACAATGGCAAGTGCTTAAGCAGACAGAATCATCAGGGGTTGCCCTGCCAAGCCCACCTTGGCACCACCAGCATGAGCGGGCATCACTTCCAGAAACAAGCTCCATTTGTTGGAGGGAGTATGTCCTTATGGGGTTTTGCTCAGTCCTCAAGAAGCTGGGGTCTCACCCCCTCCAGGAAGTTCTCCTGCTTCCCCAGGCTTGGATTGGAGCTCCCAGGGCCCCCCAGGACCCCCAACATCACATCAATTCTCACTGCCTCATTAGAGGCCACTGGTTCTCAGCATGAGTGAGGGAGTGGGGCCCCAGCAGGCATTGTTTTGGAAATGGGGCGGCAAGATTTTGTTGCACCAATGATTGTGGTCACAGCTGGCATTTAGTGGGCAGGACAGGGATGCTGGACGCCTGCACCATGAAGATAGCCCTTCATGACACCTGCCCAAAATGTCTGCCACACACTCACAGGTGGACGCCTGGGAGGCAGGGTTCTGAACCCAGAGTGACATATAGAGACGTGAAGTCTTTTTTATATGACTTAGCAAACATTGAATTTCCTAGAATGCAGCTCCAATATAAACTTAGGGAAGACTGTCCTTTGTGTTGTTCAAACTTTACCAGAAGCTTTTTGCTCTTTCAGAAAATGCATCACTCGCACCGGCATCTATGGTCACGGTGTTCGGGGTTCAGAGGCACGTCTGCCTGCTTCCTTGAGCCTTTTAGACATGCCCAATATTTACTTTTATTATATATGTTACTGTACTATAAATTGCTTTCTTTTTACTTCTCTTTTTTGTCATGCTTAGGGCATTATACTGGCATCACTTCTTCCCCTCCCCATGACTCCAGGCTCACCCAAGACCCTGGCCCTCAACAGCCCCCTGCTTTATATTATATAAATATGGATATGGATAGATGGCATTATTTATGAATCCCACTTCATAATATTAAAGGGGGCACTGGGTCTGACAGGCTGACCTGCTTATTTTTTGCCACCCTTACTAAACCCAGGGGCAGGTGGACAGAGACAAGCGGAGCTCATCACTGTGTCCCCAGCCCCCAGTCCCGGGCCCAGCATATGCCTGCCAGATGAACACATGAATCTAGAAGCGACTTTCCTCGTGTGTGATGAAATGGAGCTTAAATTTAGCTTTGAAGGGAGGAAAGGGATGAGGCATTGCAAGTGGAGAGAAGCTCCAGTCATGCATGGGGTCTGGCAGCTGAGACAGGAGTGGCGCACTGGGCCAGGGCTGAGTATGAGGGAGACTGGAGCTGGGAGGGGGCTGGCGGGGGTGTCTGGGAGGCCAGCAGCCCACAGGCCTTGGCAATCCTGAGCTCCTTGGTCTCCCCACAGCCTGCCTCCCTGCACTCCCAGTCCAGAAGGAGGAAATGTATTTGCGGATCACCATTTCATGAAACGACATGGGGGCTTCCATCCCTGGTACTGGTGGGCAAGCTCTGGGCCTGAGAGGGCTGAGAACTGGACCAACCCAACCGGAAAACAACTAAAACAACTGGAGTTTTCAAATGGGCTTATTTTAAGACTTCTTAAAGAACTGACAGTCCACCTAGTCTCTAGACCGCCAGATCAGGTTTCCACCGATAAATGAAGAACAGAAGATCAAAAGGGACACCAGGAAGAAAGAGAAACACCTAAGCTACTTTCACCCTGAAGGTATTTGCTGACTGTGGAAAACATGAACTTTTATTTGGACAACTTCCCCAGGTGACAGGGGCAGAAATCCAAGTCCAGGCTCAGGGAAGGTGGAAAGTGTAACAGGACCAATACAGGGAATGTGACAGATTCAGTAGGCTAGGACCCCGAGGGCTACACTCCCGGGGCAAGGGCTGAATGCAGAGCAGAGCAGCTCTTTCCAGGAACTAAGCCCCACTGGAATCCCCTGGATGGTGCAGGAAGCCCCAAACTGAAAATAGCTTCAGGCAGTCTTACACAGGTGGTGCCCCCCCCCCGGGGGGGCGTGTCTGGTAACAGGATATGCACACCCTATCTGGAGGAAAGTATCTTCCTCCTAGTCCACACTGCTCATACCAGATTTTTCAAATGCAATAACCAGAACACAGTCAGTCCTCTTGGGAGCTTGGGAGCCAGATGCCACAAAAGAGAGCAAACCCACAAAAAAGGACTAGAATCAGATGTGAAGAAACTTCAGACACAGCCATCATCTGTACAACAGATATGTCTACTCGGCTTAAATCCACAAAAGAAAAGCTTGAGGACCCCTGCACACAGGAAACTAAAGTGACACAGCAGACAGATAAGAACCAAATGGAATTTCTAGAAATAAAAAAAACCTCAGTAACTCAATTTAAAAATCATTGATCGTATTGAACAGGATAACAGAGCTGAAGAGAAAACTAATGAAACAGTAACAAACCTTACTATGGTTGATGTGTTCTATTTCTGTTCTATCTGATGCTTTAAGGGATAGCTGAGCCCCAGTAAAGGGACTTTACAACCTATAAATGTGTCAGAACCCGTGTCTGAATGAAGTACATTGCCCTTGCAGCCTCCCAGGAGTGGGATGAAGCCAGAGCAATCCCTCCCTTCTCCCAATTCCTCTATATCTTTCTTGGAAACTTGCTACCTGGAACTTGTCAAATTCATCTTTTTCTCTCACACAGATCCTCCTTTGAGACTTGCCCACAATACATGTCAGAAAATGCTTGTTCAATGAATAAATGATCTGAGCCCTCTAAAATGTCTGGGGCCCACCTGTATGCACAGGTGCCATGCTCTTTGCCCAAAGGCAGCCCTGTGAGAACCCCAGAAGGGGCCAGAACCTTCCTTCTCACCAAACTGGAGGGCAGAAGGGTAGAGAAGGAAGGCAAGCAGACTGGGCACACGCAGGAGCAGCAGCATCGAAGGCCAAGAGAAAAGCCTGCCTCTAGGGAGACTACAGGACTATGTGTGCTGGGGTACGTGTGCCTGTGGGTAAGGGGGGCCCAGGGTTTATGAGGCTGCAGACAAGAGGATATTCACTTATTAAATAAAGTCAAGTAACAATCCCCAACACTGACTAAGGTGTGTAACACAACAAAAGCCACTACCACTGCATAGACTCATCCAGGGTGGGGAGCTTCATAAAATATGAACTCCCAGGTGTCCTATACAGCTTGGCAGGTCTGAGGCAAGGCCAGGGCATATGCATTTTTAAAGTCACCCTCACCCCAAATGGTTCTGCTGCTCAACAGAGTTTGAAAAGCAGGTTGAAAGTGGACTCAAGATAAGAACAGAGCACAGGGAATAAAGCTATACAGTCACAATAATACAAAAGTTTGGTATCAATTATACAAACCTCTGTTTTAATTTTTTTCAACACTTTAACTTAATTTATAGAACAACACATTGAACACCCACTGGTGTAACAGAAGAGAATGCAGAGGTTATTCAGTCTCCATGATGTAAAACTAAAAGCGGCCGTGGTGGAAGGGAGCACAGAGCAGAGCACTGGAGGACTGGATGGGTGAGAAACGGAGGTGAAACTGTGATCCCAGGTTTACAAAGGTGACAAAGGAGAATGTACAACAGTGACAAGAT